AAAAAAGCTCGGGCTCGGCCCGAGCTTTTTTTTCCTGGCTCGGGCTCGGCTCGTTGCCACCGCTACATGAGATGAGTGGTTGAAATTAACTGTGGACTTTAACTTGAGATTAAAATCAAATTTTAATTTGAACCAAATATGGGCATAATAAAACATGTATAAGAGACAATAAATTTATCTATTGCTCCTAGGTTTCTAAAATCTCAGCCATACCCAATTATTGCCTTGATATCTAAATATTGTTTCCTTTTCAAAAATAATTAAATTATCATAAAGTCTTTATCAAGTCATCAGTCTAAAAACAGCAAAATCTTAGCTTTAAAGTTGATGAAGCCCTTACATTTAACAGTGTCATCGTATACATCAAAATATAGTGAAGGCACAATTTCATGCAGCCCTTTTTTCACTAGATCTATGTCGTCATAAAATATACTTCGAGCAAAATATATACTTTAAAGACGATCATTTCCCATTTCGTCATGTCCTGTTCTGTTCCCATCCCGTCTTGTCTTGCCCCACTCCGCTCCTATCGCTAGAGGTAGACAATGAGACCGTCATGGGACTTTTCCGACAACAAAGAGCACTAAATATTTGAGAGTTTTAGTGAAGATATTCAAAAATGAAAGTTTTTTGCCTTTTAACTTCAGGCCAATCAGGTATTTTATAATATATCAACCAATTTCACACCACCAAGTTACCTATCGTTCTCATATCCAACATCTCAACCCTATCTTATGTCGATCATATGTAGTTTTATGGTCACTAAAAAAAAAAAATTAAAAAAATTGCAAATGTCTTCAGCTTTTAATACTTTTCAACTCTAAAATCCGAAATCAATGGGGACACCAAATTATTCTTGATGGCAACATTGCCTTGATGGAGTAGAGAACCAAGTGCAAAACAATATCTAGATATTATCAAATTGATATTGACTAACTATATAAATCATTCACAGTTCTAACTACTTAATTATATTATTTTATGTAAAATAATATTAAATTTACAACTTGATTGCAATGACAGCGGCACTCGAGAAGTTGACTATCATATACTAATATATTTTTCCTTATAATTAATTTTAGTAATAAAATATTTAATTTCCAAGTCTCTTTCCTAATATTTATTCAACATTAAGAGCTGGCTCTCCTGACCGATTAAGCCAAAACAAGAATCTTGGGTCGGAAAGAAATATGAATTCATCAGTGCATGTGAGCGTGACATTCAATGTAAAAAAATAAAATAAATAAATAATAAATAAATAACATATTGATGATTACATTATTCAATATTCAATGTTTTGATTTATAAATATGCTCATAGGGTTTGGAACTGCACCAGGCGGTATACAGCATTAGGAGAAGAAATCAATAGCCATGAAGCCTCATGCTGTAGTAATTCCGTACCCTGCACAAGGTCACATAGCCCCAGTGCTAAAATTGGCCAAACTTCTTCATTTCCGGGGTTTCTTCATCACTTTTGTCAACACAGAATACAACCACAATCGTCTGGCTCGATCCCGGGGACCGGAATCGGTTAAGGGCCTAGAGGATTTCCAGTTCAGAGCCATCCCTGATGGCCTTCCTTCCTCAGATAAAGATGCTACACAAGATATACCAGCACTTTGTGATTCAGTTCAAAATAATTGTTTGCCTCACTTTTTGGACCTCATCAACAACCTTAATGATTCGCCCGATTGTCCGAATGTTAGTTGCATAGTTTCTGATGGAGTCATGAGTTTTACTTTGGACGCTGCTGAACAACTCGATATTCCTGAAGTTGTGTTTTTCACTACAAGTGCTTGTGGCTTCATGGCTTACTGTCACTATGCTGAACTTGTAACTAGAGGATACTTCCCGCTCAAAGGTATATAATTACATAGATACCTATATTGTATCAAGATTTACAGTACACATTTGTATTGGTTTTATAATTGTATTGATTCTTGCAAGGCTAACTTGAGTTTTGATTTGCAGATGAGAGCTGCATAACTAATGGCTATCTTGATACAAAGCTCGACTGGGTTTCGGGGATGAAAGATATTCGACTAAGGGACTTCCCAAGTTTCATTCGAACAACTGATCCGAAAGATATTATGGTCAACTACAACATTCTGCAAACCAAGAATGCATCGAGGGCCAAGGCCGTGATAATTAATACGTATGATGACTTAGAAAAAGAAGTTCTTGAGGCCATTCGAGAAAAATTTGAACGCGTTTGCACTATTGGTCCACTCCAATTGGTAGAGCACGAAATAAAGAATCCTAAACTCAAATCCATTGGCTCGAGCCTGTGGAAAGAAGACGAATTGCACTATTGGTCCACTCCAATTGCTAGAGCACGAAATAAAGAATCCTGAACTCAAATCCATTGGCTCGAGCCTGTGGAAAGAAGACGACGCTTGCATCGACTGGCTCAATAAAAAACCCCCAAATTCTGTTCTTTATGTCAACTTTGGCAGCATTACTGTTTTATCGGCCAAACAGCTGTTGGAATTTGCATGGGGACTTGCCAATAGTAATCAGCATTTCTTATGGATCATCAGGCCAGATTTAGTAAGTGGTGAAAGCGCGATTTTGCCAGAAGAATACTCGAGAGAAGTCGAAGGGAAAGCCCTTATGGTGGAGTGGTGTAATCAAGAACAAGTTTTGGCCCATCCTTCTGTTGGAGGGTTCTTGACACATTCGGGTTGGAATTCAACGATAGAGTGTATATCGGAAGGGGTGCCGATGATTTGCTGGCCATTTTTCGCCGAACAGCAAACGAATTGTCGATATGTGTGTACCGAGTGGGAGACTGGTTTGGAGATTGAGGGAGAGGTGACAAGAGAAAAAGTTGCAAAATTGGTGAAAGTTTTGATGGAGGGAGAGAAAGGGAAGGAAATGGGGAAAAGGGCCTTGAAATGGAAAGAGAAGGCTCGATTGGCAGTTAAACCAGGTGGCTCTTCTTACCAGAATTTGGAGTTTTTGATTAATGAGATTCTTCTTAAGAATTAGTTGTTTGATTTAGTACAAGAACAAGAACAAGTTAAATTAGTATTGTACCATGTTTCCAACTTTTGTACCCCATATGCCCATATCAATCAAGAAATGACTCCTTTTCCCTTTTATTTTTGGAAATTTTAATACAACTCAACCAATCAATCAATAGTTTATTTGATACTTATAAGCTGTGAATTAGGATGAAAACGAGACGGGTAGAGATCGAGGCACTCATTCTCATCCTATCAAATATTTTTGTTTCCTCTACACACCCTGTTAAGAGGCCCCTGCCCCCATCAACTGCCATATTTATAATTTTTTTCTATTTTTAGTTGGTGAAAATCATTAATTTTTTTTTTCAAATTGAATAAAAATTCATGTTTCTTTTAGAAATAATGATTATTCTTTTCTTTTTATGTGAAAAAAAATTGTATTTTGAGATAAATTCTAAACGGGATAGACAACAGCGCGTGTACCCGATTAGGCGAGGCTCCCGAATATTGGGTAAAATGAGTTTTTTTTGTTATTCATACTGTGAATCTTTTGAAATGTGTTGGTAATAAATAAATACTAAATTACGGGTCCCACAAATTTTATGGATAAAAATGAAAAATTATAACCAAATGATGTCATTGCTGACGACTTTAATTTCTTTAGCTTACTTAAAGTTAATTAATTTGAGTATTGAATTGTTATATCTTAAACTATATAAGGAGAAAACAAAGGAAACGTCAATTTAGCAATTAAATTAAAAGTGTTAATGATGTGTATTTCACTCATTTGAGCAACAAATACGCAGACTTTAATGATATAAAATACTTGCTTACGCACTTGATGCTTGCACGACTCAATTATTCAGTATTACTAATATCTCAAGAAGCGTGTTTATTAATGATATGCATGCACGCTTTTAGTATCATGAGAGCATTATATAAAAAAAGTAGATAATGCTCACCATCTCTCCAGTTCAGAATTCAGCATGCTCACCATCTCTCCAGTTCAATGAAGCTCCAGTTCACGTGCTGTCCATTATCCAGTTTCACCAGTAAAGCATTCTCTCCAGTTAACAGATCACCTCTAGTTCAACAAACATCAGCACACGATTCAGCCTCTTCCAGCTTAGCATTCTAGCTTATTCTAGATCTTTCCTTAGTTAGTTATCTAGTTAATTTGTTAGTAATTGGTTAGCTAGTTTCCTCTATAAATAGAATACATTACAATGTAATTCCTTAAGCAAGTTGAATGATATTTCTTCTTCTTCCCTGCTGTACTTACAGCAGGTCCATATCCGGTTTCTTCTTTGTTTTGTAGTTCAATAATTCCAGCCATAATTTCTGTTATTTCCAGCTTCCTCTCAGCTTTCATCCCTTGATTTTATCAGATACTTATAAGCTGTGAATTAGGATGAAAACGAGACGGGTAGAGATTGAGGCACTCATTCTCATCCTATCAAATATTTTTGTTTCCTCTACACACCCTGTTAAGAGGCCCCTGCCCCCATCAACTGCCATATTTATAATTTTTTTCTATTTTTAGTTGGTGAAAATCATTAATTTTTTTTTTTCAAATTGAATAAAAATTCATGTTTCTTTTAGAAATAATGATTATTCTTTTCTTTTTATGTGAAAAAAAATTGTATTTTGAGATAAATTCTAAACGGGATAGGCAACAGCGCGTGTACCCGATTAGGCGAGGCTCCCGAATATTGGGTAAAATGAGTTTTTTTTGTTATTCATACTGTGAATCTTTTGAAATGGGTTGGTAATAAATAAATACTCAATTACGGGTCCCACAAATTTTATGGATAAAAATGAAAAATTATAACCAAATGATGTCATTGCTGACGACTTTAATTTCTTTAGCTTACTTAAAAGTTAATTAATTTGAGTATTGAATTGTTATATCTTAGACTATATATAAGGAGAAAACAAAGGACACGTCAATTTAGCAATTAAATAAAAAGTGTTAATGATGTGTATTCCACTAATTTGAGCAACAAATACGCAGACTTTAATGATATAAAATACTTGCTTACGCACTTGATGCTTGCACGACTCAATTATTTAGTATTACTAATATCTCAAGAAGCGTGTTTATTAATGATATGCATGCACGCTTTTAGTATCATGAGATGAGCATTATATAAAAAAAGTAGATAATGATATGCATGCACGCTTTTAGTATCATGTGTTGAGCTTTATATAAAAATAGTAGATAATGACAAAATAATCAACCCTCTATCTCGCCACGTAATCTTATTTTTTATTTTATTTTTATGTCTATAAATTTGAATTACAATTAAAAATAAATGAGAATGTTTTAATCTGCCATTTGTTCGTATTTATTTATCTACCACTCATTTATAAGCACTCCCAAACATGCCCCCGCTCCAATCACGTCCCCACTCTACCTTCCAAAAATCCATGGCAGCCTTGTCCAGTTGCCATCTTTACTTCAAACCACAATTGTGTTTGATACCCATTTTGGAGAAGAATTTGATTTGGAACGGTGATTGATGGAAAAATGTGTGGATAAAAATTAAGGAGAATTTTTGGGTTTATGTGTAATATTATTTTATTGATAGAATGTGTCGTTGAAATGGAGAGAGAAAAAAAAGAGAATGAGAATGAGAAAAAAATGAATGTCAAAAAAAGGTCCAGATTTTAATAATTTAGTGAAAAGGTAAATTGACAAAGCTTATGCCACATACTAAAGAGAGAGTTCGAGTATGCAATTTAGCCCCTGTTTGGTTTGGTTTAAAATTCAATTAAAATTTCAAATCAAAATCAACAGTTAATTTTAATTACACATTTCACGGGACCCATAACTTTTCAACCATACATTTAATCAACTTTTATCAAAATTTATTAAAAATCTGATTTTAATCTCTACCAAACAGGACTTAAATTATTAAAATATAGCAAAACTTAGAAGAAAAAGAATTAGTTAGAAAATATCATAAGTATTTTTACTATTAAGTTTTTTTTTTTTTTTTTAACAAATTTATGCCTCATGGTTTTACATTAGTTAAAAGTTATTTTTCTAGAACAAGAATGTAAAATTTTGTTTGTGAAAAAAGTAACTTTTGAAAACTATGTTTAACGAAATAAACTTTACTTACTTTAGACACAATCGACTTAAAAATAAACTTATAATAAAAAAGAGAAATAAAGATTGATCACATGATTTACAATAACATATTTCGAGAATCAATAATTCAATTTTATAAACTCAAGATGTATGCCTTTTTATTTCTATAATTAATTAAAAATTAATACAGTCTGTTCCAGATACATGGGCAAGTTGTATTCGAATTTAATATTTTTTTATTCCTATGAGATGAGCACAAATTTCTTCTACTACGAAAAAGACACCGTATAAAATAAAAGAATATGCGAACTACTACCAATTTCCTTTTTCTTTGGCGAATTCTCAACTACTCTTCAACGTTCAAGAGTTTGACCAAACAATTGGAATATTTGCCATTTGCTAATTTTATTAAATGCATATGTTGATTTATTGCACTTGCCTTTCTTTTCTCAAGAAAATGACGATAACGCTATGGGATAAATTTCGCATCTATTAATTATCAAAATATAGATCGATATATAAGAATTTGAGCCAATGAAATCCTTAGACAGAGGACAGTCACATGTACTCCACAACAGAATGGGCTTGCAGAAAAGATGAATTGGACTTTGCTAGAAAGGGTAAGTTGCATGTTGATAAGCTCGATCTTCCAAAACTGTTTTGGAAAGAAGTTGTTAAAACTGCCTCATTGACTAAATAGTTGGTTTCCAACACTGATAATTCTAATTATATCAATTATGGTAATTAAAGAATCAGATCATGGTTAGTTATATGAACAATAAAGCATGCTAATAAGGTTGACGTTTCAAAATGAAAATATCAAGTCCTAATATATTATCAAAACTCATTAAATTCAAACGAGTAATTTGACTCTATTCAAACTCAAACGAGCACACAGATTTTAGAATTTATCGGTTTAAACGGGTCACCATCTTATAGGAACATATTAAGAACAAGTCTCACATTAGGTAATTATATAAAAAATATAAACAAAAAAGGACTCAAGCTATCCCCGTTAATAAAATTAATTTTTTTAATATGAAATCACAAGTTTTAATAGTGTATCCGGATCTTGCTGTTTGGAAGCTTAATGAAATGTTTATTTAAAAAAAAAAAAAAATAGTGCATATCAACTCATGAATTGTTTTCAAGTGAAAATGATTGTTTTTAAAAACCGTGTCATTTATGAATCCCTCCACAAAAGGGGGACAATCCCTACAAAGTGCACATGGCACTTTTTTTTTTTAATTCACTCTCTAAGGTACAACCATTTAAAGGGTTTTCTATTTTTTGTTTTTAACAAGAAGCGCACAGGATCTCGATTGCACGTGTTCTTGTACCACGTCAAAACTCCAACTACCCCGATTGTGTGGTTGCAGACATTTTTAATAATTTATTCGTACATGCATTGCCTCGTGATTCATGTTCGGTGTGCGAAAATCATTTTTTACAGTTGGGCTGTAATGCATGATTTACACATTTGTTACACAATTTTCTTACACGTGTATGGGTTTCACAATGTGTGTATCATTGTGGGCCCTACAAGCATGTGAGAGGATTGCGTATCAAGTGTGTACAAGTAGTAAATTTGAATGCAAGATTTGTGGAACCAAATGGACACTTTAGATTCAAATAATTTTACTCTATAAATTGGTAAAGATATATGGAGAGGTATGAACGAGGCCACAATGTTCAATGAGAAAATGCTTAACCGTCACGCGGTATTTGGATGTCGAACTTCTTGAGAAGTTACATTTTTTCTCCCAACTTAAGTCGCTTTCCTATTTAGAAATTTAATTTGGTGCCTATTTCTATTGGGTCGTGACAATTTAATAAAATTTAAACAGTTTCTCTCGATGGTGTAGGGTTGTAAATCATAAAGGATAAGAATCAATTTTCTATCAAATTAAACAATAGATAAAGAACCAAACTTTACAATTTTTCCTAAAGTAAAAAACAATTTATTATCTGCTATTTCCACTTTCTCACACTTATATATATACCCAACTGTGTTTCTAGAGCTGGTGAAGAAACAAAAGTTCATTTGCTGAGGGCAGCAAAAAGACCATGAAGCCTCATGCTGTAGTAATCCCATACCCTGCACAAGGCCACATAGCTCCAGTGCTAAAATTGGCCAAACTTCTTCACTACAAGGGATTCTTCATCACCTTCGTCAACACAGAGTTCAATCACAACCGCCTTGTTCGTGCCCGCGGCCATGACGCTGTTAAGGGCCTCGAAGATTTCCAGTTCAAAACCATCCCAGATGGCCTGCCAGCTTCCGACAATGATGCTACACAGGATATCCCTTTACTTTCTGAGTCGATGTCGAAAAATTGTTTGGCCCCTTTTTTGGAACTCATAAAGGAGCTTAATGAATCATTGGATTGTCCAAATGTTAGTTGCATAGTTTCTGATGGGGTCATGAGTTTTACTTTGGATGCTGCTGACCAGCTCAATATTCCTGAAGTGCTGTTTTACACGACAAGTGCTTGTGGCTTCATGGGGTACCTTCACTATGGTGAACTTGTTGCCAGAGGATATGTCCCTCTTAAAGGTATGATTTGTTCTTAAAATTATCTGGGCCGGTCTGTCCATGTCTTATGAAATATTTGTTTGATTTTGATTTGGACAGATGAAAGTTGCTTGACAAATGGATATTTAGAGACTCAGATTGATTGGATTCCAGGGATGAAAGGCATTCGACTGAAGGACATTCCAACATTTATTCGAACCACTGATCCTAAAGATATAATGCTGAATTACAACATTGTTCAGCACGAAAACGCGTCAAGGGCTAAGGCCATCGTTTTCAACACATATGATGAATTGGAAGACGAAGTTCTCGAGGCAATTCGAGCCAAATACGATCATGTTTACACCATAGGTCCAATCCAGTTGCTCGAAAAAGAAATTTACGAGCGAAAACTCAAATCCATTGGATCAAACCTTTGGAAAGAAGACATGGAATGTTTAACTTGGCTTGATCAGAGGGAAAACAATTCTGTTCTTTACATTAATTTTGGTAGCATCACGCCATTGTCTCCCGATCAAACGGTGGAATTTGCTTGGGGACTTGCTAAGAGCAATCACCATTTCTTGTGGATCATTAGGCCTGATTTGATGAATGGGAAAGGATCAATTTTACCAGAAGGGTTCTTGGAGGAGACTAAAGGGAGAGGTTTAATGGTGGGGTGGTGTCCACAGGAACAAGTTCTAGCACACCCTGCAATTGGTGGATTTTTGACACATTGTGGTTGGAATTCAACCATTGAGACTATATCAGAAGGGGTGCCAATGGTTTGCTGGCCATTCTTCGCCGAACAACAAACGAATTGTCGATACGCATGTACGAAATGGGACATTGGAGTGGAGATTGAAGGGGATGTTAGCAGAGGGAAAGTGGAGAAAATGGTTAAGGTTATTATGGAGGGGGAAAGAGGGATAGAAATGAGGAGGAAGGCATTGGAATTGAAAGAGAAGGCTCACTTGGCAGCTAAACCTGGAGGCTCTTCTTACAACAACTTGAAGAAATTAATCCATGATACTCTTCTCAACAACCACTAAATCGAACTTTTGATACAGAGTATTGAATGGTCCTATTAAACAGAAATGAGCAGTACTATCGACATCACCAAACAAAGTTCGTCTTCTTCTCGTTATTGTGCCATTGAATGTGATTATTTTAGTCTTTCCTATTGTTCTTTTTTTTTACCCCTGTTCAATAAATCTTAGATTTTACACCCTTATTTGTACACTTATCTAAACCATTAAATTTGAATATTTGTTAGTGATTTGGATGAATTCTAGCTTAATTATGGTGGAATTGGAAGAAATGAACGAAAAATGGGTGAAAACAAACGAAATTTAAATTCGAGGATCAAAGTGAAAATATTCAATTAGTTGATTTGTACCACAAAATGATGGTTGAAGATTACTAGAAGACAACTAAATACAACTGAAGGTCAAATGAGTGAAATATAGTCAAACTATTTTTACAAATCAATTTTCAATCAAAAAATTTATGCTCCAAATTTTTAGCCTAATATTGAGATCCATTTTTGGCATAACAAATGTTTGAAATGGGAAATTTTTATTTCTAGAAAAATTGTAGCACATTTGAGTTAGTTTTTCAACATACTTTGCATCACTTCAATTGAATATTGGGAGAGAAAGTTACAATTAAAATACCGAATACCGAAAATTGTTTAAAGACAAAAAGACGCTCGCTCCAGACCGCTGTTCGAACCAACCCGTGAGTCAAACACCTTCCCTGCACCCACGCGCCATGGACTACAGCCAAACCGTGTGGTTATCTTCGGGGACCAACGCGCAAATTTCCTAATTTGATTGTAATTCTTATTAAAATCCGATTTCTAAACAATTTTTGGGATGATTTTTAGAATTTTATAAATATGAAACTTGACCAAAACATTGTGGAACTCTCTCTAGCCACTTGATACACAATAATACCTTAAAATCCATACATAAATAGTAAATTTGAATTGAATTTGTTCGACGATACTCTCAATTCACTCAAATTTATTATTTTTCAACGATCTCGTACGTTTATAGAATTTGTACGAACCCTTATTGGAAGAAAAAATCTGTCTTAAAAAAAAAAAAAGAATAAAGTAGAATTTGGACATGAACCTCGTGGATAGTCCACTTACAACCTTGTGCCTGGATATACACAAAGGGTAGGTGGGTAGGTATGAGCTGTGAAAGTTAGTTTGCATGCTAAATTTAGGTAGCTGAACATTGATTGGCTAATTTTAGAATCCAAGATTGCTGTACGTACATAAGCACGTGATCAGTATTCAATTTTCAACTTTTTGTTTCTAGTGATGAAGTTGACCCCATGTTAAAAGAGTCATGTGAGTGGGATGGGTCCCATGATACTCACATTATGTGAATCCCTAAGTGTACATTTATGTACATCTAGATTAATCCATTTTAAAAACGTAATGCGATGCAGTCGAAGTGATGCAAATTACCGACCTAAGTGCCATCTTAAATCAAATTCATTTTCATTTAAAATGTCTAATCACTTATTGCGCGTTTGAAACCCGTTAAAATGGGATTTTCACCAATCTCATTTTTTTCACCCGTGGGGCCTCTTTCAGTGAAGTTGTCGATTATTCTTTTGCGAAAAACACAATCAATGGTAGATGTTGCAGGACCCAAAATGAACGTTCACAATTTACCCTTCAACGGGTTTCAACGTTTTTGAAAGATTTTGACTGTCGACGAATGTTTTTGGCACTTTGTGATTTCTTGATATTAAATTTACTGTTGGAAGAATGAGAAATCTCGTTAAAATGGATTTTAATCTGTACCTAGACCAGACCAGCTATATGTAGCAATTTTGGAGGCTTATACGGTGAGAATCAAACACGCGTTTGGTTTGCTTTTGTGTGGACTCTATCCATGAATAAGAAAATTGCAGTGGAGGTCCCCTAATTTAAGATAGTAGCAATCAAGTCCCCAACTTAATTTTTTTTTGGCATCCAAGGTCTTTCTGAATGGAAATAATTAATCATTTGAAGAACTATCGAGTTGGCATCTGGTGTTGCACTATCTTTAAGAGCGGTAGATGCACAAAATGAGGCCATACACGCGAGAGTTTTATTGACCACAATTTTATAGGGCATTTATTATCCAATCAAGAATTGTCACGTCAATGTCACGTCAATGTGGTCATTGAGGGCACGTTGAAAAAAGTTGAAGAAATTTTAGTCCACATTTGGCCGTCATTTTTTAAAATTTTATTTTTATTAAATTCATTTTCGATCTGTGATTTACAATTTTTATTAATTTCTCAAGCACGCATATCATCATCTTTTTATTAAAATACTAAAAATTTAATTTTTAATCCATATTAATTTTTTTATCAAAATTTTAGCATTTAGATTTTTTTCGGGGACTAAATACATCAATATCGATGTAATATACTTAAACGAAAATAAATTTCGCCATAACACATTAATAAATGTGGTGCACTTACTCGACTTTTGACGAAAATAAAAGCAATTCGCGTGTTAGGTAAGATGTGACCATGCCCTGTACGTCTAACATGGGGACAGTTGTAAAGCCACCGTGAGTATTTCCCTATACTTGGGGGAAGGGGAATTACTGCTTTATCCTTTGGGGGGTGCTAATAATGCAGGTTAATTATTTTACGTATGAAATTCTTCATTGACCATCTTTTTTTCCAGGCTTGAAGTAAATTATGGTTCGCTAGCAGTCAATGCCAGCAACGGAAGGGCATTGCTGCTAGGTTTACGAATTATTCTAGGTAATTCATTGGTAGAATGAAAAGAATTAGGGGGAAAAGGAAGCACAAGAAATGAATGGGAAGATCGAAAGGTTGGAAGAAGAAATAATTTTTTAAGTAGACGCATGGGTCCAATATAGTCATGGCAATCGGCTAAGTCGACTTTTTTAGTTAGACGCATGGGTCCAATATAGTTATGGCAATGGGCCGAGCCGCTTAAACCCATGAGCTCGAACCGAGCTCATGGGTCGTTAGCTCACGAGCCGAGCCTCGAGCCCACGAGCTTTTCGAATTTTTTTTTTTTTAAATTTTTCTTTAATTTTTCACGAGCTCACAAGCCGCTCGCGAGCTCGGTGTTCGGCCCGTTTGCCATCTCTAGTCCAATAGCTGCTTCAACAGCTGCAATAGCTATAACAAAAATGGAGAAAATGCTCCTGTTTGGTTCAGATTAAAATCTGATTTTAATCCAAGTTAAAGTCAAACAATCAATATTAATCATATTTTTCATA